GATTAAGCTTCAATAACGTTTGTTTTTTATATCAGAAAATGTTTTATTTGGTATTGAATTATAGGGAAAATAATTATCTTTTTACACAAGACAAATTAAATTTTATGAACCCAAAAGTCAATTTAGTTTAATGGTGTTAAATCAACCTTGGCATCATCAATTAGGAGAGAAAGAGTTAAAACATTGTTATGTAATTTAGTACATAAGTCTGTACCTAGAGATGGGGGAGAACATATCTGTGAGGTGTTAAAACTGTATGGGACTACACCAAACAGCATAATTCCTTAGCAAGGTACTACATGAGGTCTAGGACTCCCTGCCTTGTCACTAATAGGAGTTATTCTTAGGTATCTGGATTCAATCTACTTTTTTTTCTAGCAGTTTTTGTATTTATATTATTATCTCCCTTGGTAACAGTAATGTTCCACCTGATTTACGCTACTAGTATGTTTATACTTGATAAGGAGGCTTCGATCTTTGTTATTGTTTTCACCAATCTTTTGGCACCTGAGGACACTAGTCATGTTTCTTTGTGGTATCCCTGATTGTTTGCCCATTATTGAAATTTGGTTTTTGAACTAAACATATTGTTACGATCTTCTCTATAGGGCCTTCTGCAAACACTGCCCAACAACACAACACATCTAAAACATCAACCTCACAACAAGAGCTTCAATAAACAATGTGGCGTTTTAATTACAATTACATCGACAGCCAATTCAACACAATTGGCTACACTAACTTCAAATGCTTTCTTGCATTTAACAGAACTGCCTAACTAACACTACAAGTCTCTCTAGCTCTTACAGCCACATTTTCGAGGACTCAAAGGTACATCACAGTCTTTCTGCTTTTCTATCCTGGACTCAACTGTCCTTTTTTACACATTGTGGCTAGTCTGTGAAGGCTCTCAATCACATGACCACAACATGGATCATACTTGCGTGAACTAGCAGTACTGTCCTTTGTCTATCGACAGCCGTTGACCTGTGTGATTGGCCTGAGTCAGTGTATCAGTAGGCAGCACACACATTAACCCTTTCAGTCCGCCACTTTAATTCTTCATATAAATCATTCACTGCCACTTCCCTCATCTTGACCCATGATTGATCATCCCTTGGGCCACTTACACTTTACTTACATTATCATAGGGCGAAACATTATTATTCTTGATAGAGGCAATCTAAATCAAGGAACACCAACCAGATAACCAATGAGAAATTAATAGGATCACTCACTATCCAAAACATAGCAATCCTTGATGAAAATTATACATATTGCCACAACTCTATCTGGCTCTCGGCTAATACTGGATGACATTTCACAACTAAAACAAGAGCTTGTCAACTCTGTCTCAGATTGTGTTACTTTATTAATTGTGTGTAATAGCAGCCTAATACTGCACAAGTAATAGCACGAAATACTTACAAAGCAATCAATTCACTGTAGATGACCATACCGCTTTACTGAACTGTGATCAACTGTACCTGAACATCTTGACTCTGCTTCTCTTTCTGTTTATTTATGGTCCCAGATGACCCTCTACAAAATAATAGAAATACCACGGGCCTGTCTTCAGTCCTTCCTAGATGATCAAATGACCTTATCATGGGTGATTTGCATGCCAAATTCTTACACAAGTTCGTTCTTGAATAGCCGCTTCTGATCATGCTTGGTTGCTTGCAGTACGCTGGCTTGTGTTACATGTGTTGGTTGCACAAATGGCTACCCAGATGATTTATAACAATATGTAGTTTTATTTATTTGTTTCCCTATGCATGCCAAGTTCGTTCTTGAATAGCCGCTTCTGATTATGCTTGGTTGCTTGCAGTATCCTGGCTTGTGTTACATGTGTTGGTTGCACATATGGCTACCCAGATGATTTATAAAAATATGTAGTTTTATTTATTTGTTTCCCTTACAATCCCTTTCTATTAATTTAATAAACCATTTGTTTACTTATATTTTAAAATCAACGTCTGTTATAAAATCATATTTCTTGTGAACTTATTGTTAGTCAGCAATGTGCCTGTTATTTTTGTAGGATGTGTGATTTATTAATATTTAGACAGATAACATACCATTAAATGTCAGCACATCACATCAAAAGTACCAATGATCATGCAGATTAAAAAGTATCTAGATGTTCCATCATAACATCTTTTTTTTTTAAACTCATGATAATTATACCCGCAATGTATGTGAAGTAATGTGTATTTGTTTTTGATAAAATTGGTGAAATTGCACTTGAGACTAATTATACTCACATAATGTAAAAGAATAAGTAGGTTAATTAATGATTTTATGTTGCTCTATCTGCAGTAGTAATTTTCTGCATTTTAAAAAATATGCTTTCCAACATTAGATATTCTGGTTATTGGCAAGGGTGATTGGAATGCTTCAGTAGATTACAACGCAATCAAGTTTCTAAGAACTCACAAATTGAATTTTGAAATTCTTCCTACAGTAAGTTATTCTTTGTTTTTTATTTTTATGTTCATGGAAGTACCATGATCTCAAAGCGTCTTGCTATATTTGTTTATATCATTGCAAAGTTTTGAATAAAAACTTTTTTTTCTATTTGTTCTTTTTATTTATTTATTTATTTATTTTTTTTGTTGATTTTTTTCTGGAAACGTTTCTACTCGACAAAAAACTAAAAGAAAGAATTTTATTAAATTGGGGTATATTTTGTTTAATGAACTGTCACAAAGCTTCCACTGCTCCAGTAATATTTTTAAATGGGTGTATATATATTTTTAACAAATTGTCACCTTGGTTTTTAAAAGTTTGTTAAGAAATATACAAGCTCTTTGCTAATTTTTTAATTGGGCAATTTTATTTTCTGTATGAATTTTCAAAATATATAAAACTCGTTCACATGTTAACTTCAACATATGAAAAGAAATTTTTAAAATGTTTACAGTACATTGTATTTATAATGGAAATGAACCTCTCTGTGGCATTATCTCAAGAGATAATCTTTTCCTTTTGCAACTTCTCTTGTGGCTAAAAAAGCCAATCCTTGATACACAATTGCAGTCACAGGTTTGGCATCTGTAATCACCACATGCAGCATTGTCACCCTTCTTTCTACTTCTGGTGCGTATACCCTTCCTTTATGCTTGCTCTTGATCTGTCCAGTTCCTTTCTCCCAACTGTTGATGTTGATTTTGAAGCGCTTCATGTCACGTTTGCAGACATCAGTATATCTTAATAGTGGGAGACCTTTGGCTCACCAACCTTCTAAAAGATCACCATACAGAATGTCTTGTGGAAGTCGAGCTTGTGTCATTCTGTGAGCGTGACCATGCCAGCCAAGGTGTCTACTGTTGATACACGTGCAGGTGTCCAGGCATCATGCTCTTCATCATGGGAAAGGAATAACCACTGAAAAAAATGTACACATTATTGCATGGTTGAATTTTTACATGTAAGATTGTAAATGCTTGGCCAATTGATGGGAATGAACATCTGAGAACACAAGATATAGTAGATATCATATCTGTTGTTAAGCTTTGCATGCCTTGAAAAATGTAAGCTTTAGAGTAAACAAATGTATCACTATAAACAATTTTTATTAATTTTCAATGATTGAGTGGTTAAGCGCTTGGCCTCCGAACCTGATGTCCTGGGTTGAAGACTGGGATTTTGAATTTCGTGATTTTTAGGGTGCCCCTGAGTCCACCCAACTCTAATGGGTACCTGACTTGTTGGGGAAAGTAAAGGCGATTGGTCATTATACTGGCCACCTGAAACCTTGCTTGTTAACCGTCGGCCAAAGAAACAGATTACCTTAACATCATCTGCCCTATAGTACACAAGGTCTGAAAGGGGAACTTTTTTTTTTACTTAATGATTGAGGGAATATAGATGCTTTTCACATCCAGCCACCTATGACAGCACTAATGATTCCAAAAAAAAAAGCAGCTAGGAAATTTTAATTCATACACCTTTAAGCTAAGAAAAATTCATATTTCTAATATTGACAAATGTATAAACATAAACAAATTCCTTTTTATTTTTACTGAGAAACTTAAGTGCTGAATTTACATTGCACTCTAATATTCTAATTCATTTCATAATTTCAACAATTCATGAACATCCCCTTCATTCACATGATGTTTTAAAATCTTTCATGATGTTTTAATGTTATTTTTTTTGAAAAGGAACAAGCATGCTCAACCTTTAACTTTCTGAATGCTGAGAGGCGAGTTGTAGCAGCTGCTTTGATTCCACCCAAAGTGTTGACAAGTCCTGTGGATGAAGCTCACCAGAAACTTATGCTGGATCTAGCGGAACTAGACCAGATCCAAAGTATTGAGGATCTTCATGATGCGGAAATGGCAGAGGTTGTCAAACAAATTAACTCTGGTGAATTTGCCAGAAAAAGAGCAAAACTCGATGAGGTAAAATCAAAGCTCAGAGAGCAAAATGAATTGAATGAGGACACTAAAAAGGATAGGTAATAGATATTCATTGATCATTTTACTTGTATATTCAAATATCTTTGTGTTTTAAAATTTGTAATACAATACAATGAAACTCACTTAGATGCCTACATTGTGTTAGCTGGGGCTTTTATCTATAGCAGACCCTATTGTCTCATCAGTAACGTCCAATCCAGTATCATATAGTGTCAAGAAGATGAAGACATAGTTTGTTTGTTTTTTTGTATTACAAACTGCAATATCTTTTTTATTAAATTAAATCTTCTTCTGTAATATCTTTGCAAACTGAGCCAAGGAAAAATAGTGTTCTGTTTTCTTTAGTTCTTCAGCACTGTCATAAAAAGTGTTTGTGAACTTAGCCCTTTGTCCTTTATGAAATTCTGTTTGCATTTGTACACATTGGATTTGAAAGTTATTGTGCATTTTGTAGCTCAGCGTTTGCCTTTAAAGGTAGTGCACTATGTCACGGGGTCTCCCGACTTGTTCTCTCTAATGCCAGCTTCAGCAGGTGAAAAGAGATGAAACACATCATGACATGTGCGCCCCCCCCCCCCCCCCCCCCCCCCCCCCATGACTCAACAAACTTCAAGGCAAAAATATTCTGTCATCTTTATGAAGTCATTGACAGAATTGAGTATGTTAATCTGATGCATATTATAAATAAAAGATATACATCTTTATGCTGTCCAGCAATGAAAGAATTGAGTTGATATTGTATGTTATTCTGATGATTATTATAAAAGATATACATTACGTACTTGAGATGTTTGACTTAAATTTTCATTTTTACTTTGTGATAATATTAATTGTACACAGGTAATAAAATACAAAGAAAAGGTTATTTTAGCCTTGATTTCAAACGTTTGTTTTTTTCTGTTGAAGCGAAATTGTGAAATGAATTTTTGACGTTCTCCTAGTGAATAAATTGTTATACCTTAACATCATAGATGCTGAAATGATTTATACAGTTTTCTCCCTTAGATATTTCCTTAGTTTTATTAACCTAATTATTTTCTTTTATGAATGAACATGTGTAACTTACATGATAAGATTGATAAGATACATTGGCTAAGCTAGGGTGGGTCCAAATTTGAAAGTTCCCCGGGGCCCCCAAATGAATGTCCTAAAAAATATCTTACATTAAATATTACGCCACTGCCATGTAATCTTACTAGACAACATTGATCCAGATGATGTTATAGATGCCTATGCTGCACAGAAAGCATGACGTGGGGCAAAAGGACTTGAGATTTGTCACTTGTGCATTATCTCGCCAATAAACATTGGTATTATTCATTTAAAGAGTTTTAATGAGTATTTTTTTGTTAATTTTAATTATATAACTGCACCAATTGGAATTTTGATGTATATATTAAGTACATTATCTCATGTTATGACGTCGAATGTCAAAATGCAGAGGCCCCTAAAAAGGTCAAGCCCCCCAGGCTCCCAACTTTTGATGCGCCAATGATAGCTGGCCTGAATAAAGATGGGAGGAGGGCAATCTACACTGATTCAAATTTTCTTATAATTTTTTTTACTCCTAAGAATTTTCCGAGCAATAATTGTTTTAGAAAAGGTAATCATTATATCCATGGACAGTCACCAGGAATCTTGAGATGATTTGATTTATTCCATGATGTACATCATAGACAGCCTTCAATACCAGGAACCTATTGTTATGTCCAAGATCTGACTTCTAGGCTTGAATTAATCTCCGAATGAAAAGTAACATTATTAGTTACAATAAAATGTATTGGGTTCAACCAATATTTGCTTTAGAGAGCCATCAATTATTAAACATAGGGTAATGGTAATACCTCACTAAGAAAAAAAAACTGCATTTGATATGAACCCAGGGCAATCATTTTATTGCTAGTCAACCTTAGAAACATGAGATGTACATCCTCTGCACCATTTGTATTGAATAATAATTTGAATTTTAAAAGCAAGAGCTAACCAAAAAAAAAATAATTCTATTAGCAATTGATTTTTTTTTTAATTGTCACTAGTGTTGAATGTAATCCCTTAGTTATGGGCTTATGAGCCAATTAAATCATTTTGCTCCTTCCAGCTTCCAGAATTATTTTCTGGATTTAGAAAAATATAAAAAATAGCCCTTGTAAGCTGGAACTCTTCCAAGTGTTATGAAACTAAGAGTAATGTACCTTTGTCAAGTTACCTAAGGCCCTGTTTGTAAACTATAGCAAACTTTTTCTTTAGTTCTAAGCTTATACTTATATCGATTCACTCTGTTTGTCTGTCTGGTCAAAATCTTGTACACATTATTTCTCCCACTTCCCATTCTCCGATCAAGTTGAAACTTTGCACAATTATTAATTGTTGATGACGACGCATGAATCAATAAAAAAATTAATCAGTCGTAATTTATTAATTTTGTTTTACATGGAAAAAATACCAAGCTTAAAGGAGATAAGCCTTGCAATAATGAGAGATATTGTATCAATTGAGTGTTGCTCTCCCCCCATAGCGCAAATGGGACCCCCTCTGATACCCTCGTAAAATTTGCACTGTTATAAATTTGAAAAATTTGTTTAAAATGACAAGTTCGCTTTTTAATGTGGCTGTTTGATCGAATTTTAAATGTCAAGAATTTTTCTCAGTGTCCAAATTATACTATCAGTTAGACTCAAATCTCTTCACCTTTAGACCAGTATTTAAGGGCAACATTGCCATACTAAAGAGCATGCCCTTGTGACTTGAAGGATGACCCAAGCCATTACTAGACTGCTGGAGCAAAGCAGAGTAATCAGAAACATTATTTTACTATAGCCAGTTTCTACCTGTTATATCATTACTCTAGTACCATGTCTTCTAATCACTGAGAATTTTATGCTTATTTCAATTGATAATTTTTATTATCATAACTTAAAGAAAATACCTTCTTTACACAACTTATAGAGCAATTGTTTTATTATTAATAACTAATGAATGTTCATCATTATCATCTGGTGCTGTGACAGTTCGCGTAAGCTAGGCCCTCCACTTTACCCGGTCACCAGCTGTTGTTAGGATACCAAGAGAGAGGCCGGTCCATTCTTTTATGTTATCCAGCCAGCTTTTCTCTGGACGACCCTTTCTTTGTGCTCCCTCTACTGTACCTTGAAGAAAAACTTTTGATAGTGAATCATGCCTTACAATATGACCAAAGCAACTCAGTTTTCATCTCTTCACAGTACCGGTATTACGAAGTATTACTTATTACCAGCCAGAGTGTTAACTTATTACTTGTAAAAATACAGACTCATTTGTATTCTTTTCCTGGTATCTGATACCCAGCATTTTTCTGTAGCAAGAGGCTTGAATTCTTCGTTCAGTGTTCAACTTTCACAACCGTATTGGAGTGCAGCGTTCAGTGTTCAACTTTCACAACCGTATTGGAGTGCAGAGACAACTAGTGAAGAATACAGTTTTAACTTTACTGAGAAGCTCATTTTACTCTTCCAGATCTTCCACAGTTTGGTCTTGGGATGTTACATTAAAAAAAAAAACGCTATCTAGTTGCCCCTTTGTTTTTTAAAAATAAGTTTAAAGCTATTATCGTGAAAGTCTAATGCTTATTCCATATTGAAATTCATCTGTGCTATAAATAGAAGAGCATAGAACATTTGATTTCTGCAGTGCTAAAAGTGCAAAAATCTTATCTTATTGTGTCATATACCTTTTAAAAATCATTGCTTTTCATTACAGTGCTTTTTTTTTTTTTTTTTTTTGTACTGCTGTACTCAGTGATGGATTGCCTAACTTTTAAATACTAATAAATTAAGCGTCAAATACAAGAAAAGTAATAATTGTTTTCCCACATTGAAAAAGGTGCTGTTACGCCGTACCGGTGCGAACCGTCACAAAATAAAAACACTGCTTATCAACACGTCCTTCGTTTTGTACACCGGATACACCAAATTGCTACTTATTTGTAGTTTTTCCGCCATGTATGAAAACCTCCAATTTAAAAACAGACTAAAACAATGCCGCTATAGGAATTGCAAGTTGGCATCTTTTGTATCACAATGGGAAAATCTTCAGTTTAAAATAAGTATACCGGTACGGATATTTTATATCTGCTTGTGTAACACCATCGCATTTTTCAATCGAATAGAATTTGAAGTAACTTGAGATAGGCTTAACTCTGGATGGTAACATAGCAGGAAGGACTACCACTCTTGTGTCTAAAAATTAGGTTATGTCCCATAACTCCCACCCATACAAGAAACTTGAGACACTGATACACAATATATTGGAGTTACCCGTGGATATCATTTCTTATTGCTTATCACAGCACGTGTATAACGACAGTTAAAATTATGGAGGCTAAACCAGTAATAAACGATCTACGGCCCGCGGGTCATTTCTGCTACGAAACGCGATGCTATCCGGTCTCTCGAAACGTGTAGGCCTACACATAGACTGAAGGGGCATAATGTATCCCCAGAGATTTTGGAGAGTTAGATTCCTTTTTGTCTTGATACGGCCCGGGCACTCTTGTCGGAAGTTGATACCACACCCCCCCCCACCCCCCAGGCCAGAAATATCTAGTGCACCACTGGGCTAAACAATTTTGTCAAGCTTAGGCGATAAAGTGGGTTATAAAATACAATCAAGACAAAAATGCAAAGAAAATAGGGGTCCCCCCCCCCCCGGTACATTTTTGTTGTTGTTGTCGCGCACCAATATGTTCTGAATGAAAACATCGAATTATGCTTTCCCAATATTTTAATAACATTTTCAACAAACTTTAACGATTTTCCAATCGTGAAAACGTTGATTGCTAAGTCACTGAATCATGGCTGATTGTTAGAACGAATCTAGCGTACCATTTAGCCTACTCATTAAGGATCTACAATGCAAACATCTACAATGCAAATATAGATCTATCCAGGAGTTTTAAAAAAAAAATAGGCCTAGCACTGCGTTTGTGAGTAGACCATGGGCGTAGCCAGGATTTTTTTTCGGGGGGGGGGGGATTTTTTTTTCTCCCCCCCCCCCCCGACCTCCCTCCCGGCGAAAAAAAAATATGTATATATGTGTGTGTGTGTGTACCTAACCTTTATTACATTCTGACCCTTCATTCTTTCGGAAGACGTCTATTGTGCCCTAGAATAGGTTCTTCCTGGAGTTAGTGGAAAAATTGTAGATTCCCCGCCATTGTCAGCAAGGGGGTCTGGGGGAGCGCTAGGAGCTCCCCCATCGCGGGGCGGAACCCCGCCGCCAAGCTCTATTTCTGGTATTGAAAGCCAACAAAATGCATTTTCCTGCTATTAAAAAGTCTTCTTTCAAAAACCTAATGTGCTATTCTACTGACTTAGACCCTCCCGCACCATTTGGCGCATTTGCCGTCAAGCTGTTTCCATAAAAATCTGTCATTGGTAATGTCTGAAGTCTCTTCCCACCAGCTCTGAGAACCTCCATGAATGTGAGGCGCCAAGTTGTCCTAGGATGTCTTGCAACTCTTCTTATGCGTAATTCATTTTGTCGGAGAACATGCCCCGCAATTGAAGTTTGCTTTAGAATAATATTGAAGATAGAGGTTTCCACCCCAAAACACTCTGTAGGGGAATTTTAAACTCAAAACCATCTGGAGGGATTTTAAACTTTAAAAAAAAAGCCATCTGTATGAGAGGGGTTTAAACAAAAAAAAACCAATAGGATTGGCTACGCTCAAATAATTTTGGTGTGTACTTTGCTTTTTTTATATTGAAGAGGTATTTTTTTAGCATCAAACCCCTCTGAAGGGGGGGTTTAAACTCAAAACCCCTTTTGGCAACGCTCATAGCATTTTGAGTGCGTATTCTGCTTTTTTTCTTACACTGAAGAGGTATTTTGTAGCTTCAAACCCCGCTGGCGGGGAGTTTAAACTCAAAACCCCTTTGACTACACTCATAACATTTTGAGTGTATAATTTGCTATGTTTTTATTATTAAAGATGTATTTTTAACCTTCAAACTCCGCTGAAGAGGGGGTTAAAACTCAAAACTGAGTCAAAACTCATTTAGCTACGCTCATAACATTTTGAGTGCGTAATTAAATTTTTTTTATATTGAAGAGGTATTTTTTTAGCTTCAAACCCTACTGAAGAGAGGGGGGGGGGGGGGGGTAAACTGAAAACCCCTTTGGCTACGCTTATAGAATTTTGAGAGTGTAATTTGCTTTTTTTTATATTGAAGAGGGGGGTTTATCGTAAATTTTGGAAAAGGGTTTTTAAAATCAAAATCTTCCTTAACTGTGCTCTTGGAATTTGGGGATTGTCGTTTGTCTTTTTTTTTTGTTTTGTTTTATAGAAGA